AGCCGATTTTTCTGAACAACAAACGAATACTTGGGGATTTAAGACGAGTAAAATCGAACTCACCATCACGGTAAGAATCCGTGTGCTTCCAAACCTTCTTGTTGAAACCATCGATACCACCATGGAGACAATGGTCCCCGTCATTGACGGTCAACTGATACTCCTTACCATCAACTGTCATACGGCCATTCAGAATCCTATTAGCATACCTGCAAAACATGATACCATTGGCAACACTCAGCACTGAAAAGCGACACTTACCTTCCTACCCCACAGCACAGGTAGAGAGTGTCGTGAAGGTACTTCGTCCAATCATGGTCGTAGTTGAGGTTGACCGGAGAGAATTTCCCATCACGATCAGGAGTTTCGAGACTGAGGATGTAGAGACCGTACTCTGCAATGGTCACTCTAATCTTGTCGTTAGAAAGCGTGACGATTTGGCTATTTTCCAAATCTACAACTGAATTGCAGTCGACGGAATAGCACTCCATGATAGGAATCGAGTAAAAAAAGTAACAACTGAGAAGAGGGGATGTTCCAATGAAATACTCACCTAATGGTAAATCACCAACAAGATGACATCAATGACTTGTTCAGCTACACAGCGTCGCCGCTAGATACGGGCATCGAGAAGAAAGATTTGTCACCGACACAAAACGGGACATCGATGAGTGGGGTATTCATTCATAGCGGAGTATCCATTTTAACGGTCCCTAGATGCATCACACAGTTACGATAGATGGGAAGATGCTCACCGAATTTAAAATTATTTACTCCGACTGGGGCGCCTATGCCATTCCAAGCTATGCCTTAATACAGGGAGGTACAGCATTTAGGATACCCTACTGCGGAGTATTGAGAGCTGTGGGTTAGACGGACGAAATCTTGCCAGTCGGGTTGGCGCGGATGAAATGGGCGGCAAGTTCGGAATTAACACCTTTATACTTCACCGATTAGAGATTTGGGGGCGGCTATGCCACTGCCCCAAGATATGCCTTAGTACTATCAATCCATCCGACTGGGGCGGCTATGCCACTGCCCCAAGATATGCCTTAATATAATCGATTTCTCCGACTGGGGCGACTATGCCACTGCCCCAAGATATACCTTAGTACTATCAATCCATCCGACTGGGGCGGCTATGCCACTGCCCCAAGATATACCTTAGTACAATCAATCCATCCGACTGGGGCGACTATGCCACTGCCTCAAGATATGCCTTAATACAATCAGTTTCTCCGGCTGGGGCGGTTATGCCTCCGCCCTAAGATATGCCATAACCATCACCCCAAGATTTGTCCAAGTAAAATTCAATTGAGTCGGTACGACCGGAGCAACTCTAATGACCTTGATAAACTATGGGAATCAATTACGCTTCTTCAAGTGAGCCTTTCATCTCCTGAACTACGCCTGCTACCATCTTTGGGCTCTTATCCAACAGTCCATACTCGTCCTTAACAACGTTTGTAAAGCTGATCAGATACCTCCAGCTCGGTTACGCAGAGTGTTGTCGATCGCGTTATGTGCCGCATTAGGGCTCGAGCCAAGCATGTCTTGCCTGAAGTGCCCTTCAATAGGATCGTTAGGTCCGGCAGCAGACACTCGCTATCTACTGGCTGAGCCTGATAGTG